GAAGTGCCTGGAGAGTGGCATACCTGGAGAGGGCCTGAATGCTCTGGGATCCTTCCCAAATATAACTTGATCTATTATATTTTTCATCTGGTTGTTTCATGCAAAATACTTCTAGTTGAATTCTCTTATTTGACTATCTCTTCCCAGATTTTCACCCATATGGTCTTTATTTAGATTTTCCTACTCTACTTTGTTAAACCCTCATAGATTCATCCTCCTGTCTATGCAAAGTTCAGGCCATTCTGATCTTGAGATGTTCTCCATATCCACCAGACCTTCCTACTTCTTTTTCTAACCACTCTCCCAGCATATACTATTCTACAAACCCACCATTGCTTATGAAAAAAGTAATTTATATGAAATTCCTGTAAATTAAAAGAATGCAAGGAACTTGTTCTGTTGGAATCATACCAGAAGGATGAAAATTTCTTGGACACTTATTATAATCACCTGGAATCAAAACAGATTATAGATAGGGCAAAGGGGAAGGAGGGGAAGGGAGGGAGCAAGGGGGTAGGAATGATGGTGGAATGAGTTAGACATCATTACCCTAAGTACATGTATGAAGACACGAATGGTATGAAAATACTTTGTATACAATTAGTGACTTTAAAAATTGTGCGCTATATGTGCAATATGAAATGAATTGCATTCTGCTATCATGTATAACAAATTAGAATAAATAAATAATTTAATTTAAAAAACATAAAATATCTGTTTGAAACAAAAAAACAGATTATAAGGTCGGGGTGTGGTTCAATGGCCAAATGTGTGCTCAGCATGCTTGAGGCCCTGGATTCAATCCCTAGCACCAAAGCAAAATAAAAATGTCCTATATTATTGAGCTTGATCCACCCTCCCCAGTAATGTTTATCCTACCATTCTGTAATTTGTTACTTTCAGTGTTACCTATGAACTTTGTTTTTGGAATTTTTGTAGCTGTACATGACCCCTCTCCTTAACTTTACCTTAATGAAGCTCTATCACAACTTTTAAATAAGAATCAATAATTATATAGTATTACTGTGTAAATTATTGATAACTGCCAAGTAAGATGATATGTCATAATTATCTTTTCACCCTCAGCATCCTATATTTTTCCTAGAGTTCATAATTGTATAATTTTTAAATTTGCTGCTTACTATGTGCTTCTCACTAATATTTGTGCAAATGTCCCAGTAGATGTGTCTAATTTTTTCAAAGGCCCAGGTATGTCAAGTGACTGGCAATTGTACCATCATGGCCCTTACCCCTGCAGAGTTCCAATCTGCATTGTAGGCTCTCTAGAACCTGGTTGGTTCTCCTGGGAACTCCTTTTGCTATTTTCCTGTTCCGAATCCTCTCACTTCCTCCCTTCTCCCTTTTTCTTTTCTACCTCCCTTCCTTTTATTTTTTTTAATTTTCTTCCTTCCTTCTTTCTTTTTATTTCAATATTGAATACACTGGTAGGATACAGAGTATGCTGAGAATGGAATTCTTTTGAAGGAAAAAATAAAACTGGCAGGAATAAAATTTAAATAGGAAAATACATAATTTCTAATAATTCTGAATATAAGAAATGACAATGACAGATACCCACATGAGCATTCTGTTAAGTCCACTTAAGGAACTTCTTTACCTGATAGGTTGTAGTTTAAACTTACTTGAGTTGTTCAAAAAATACCTTATACATAAAAATAGATACAGCAAGTGAAAAGTATATCATGATTCATTAAACACATTTAATAAAAACAGTGCTTGACAACTAGAATAAGTTAAAGCTTTGTTTTCCAAGAACATTTCTAACTAGTGTTCAGATTGGAGATTAGTATTAGTTTCATTTTCTTTTTTTTAAAGAATTAATTTTTTTAGTTGTAGTTGGACATAATACCTTTATTTTATTTATTTATTTTTTATATGGTGCTGAGGATCGAACCCAGGGCCTCACACATGCTAGGCAAGCGCTCTACCACTGAGCCACAATCCCAGCCCCTTAGTTTCATTTTCTAACAAAAAATAACACGTTTAACATTCTATATTAAACTTTGCTCTCTCCTTTCCTCCCCTTCCTGTTCCTTCCTTCCCTTTTTTCTTTTTTTTAGGCAAAGTTGCCCCTGGGCCTTCACTTATCTTTGAAGTACAAAGAACATGCTCTGTCTGTTAGAATAGAATGAAATAAATTTAGATTTCAGCTCCTCTGGATGCACAGAGTAGCAATAAGACAAGTCTTAGGATGATCAGGAGGCTTAAAACTGCACCCAGCCCAGTAGGTATTATTATTATTATTATTTTTTTTTTTTTTTGGACTTCTTAAATCTCACCCCATTCTGGTGGCAAAGAAGAAAGCTGAAAAGAGTGAAACTTTGGTTTTGGTTCCATACCCAAAAATTGAACAGAAGGTCCAATAATCAAATATGGAACATCACCTCTCCATTTATATCCCAAATGGTGGGGAAGGGTCGGAAGGGATCCAAGCCACAGGAGGAGATGGCTTGGATCTGGAATATCCCCCAAAGGCTCAGCCATTGAAGATTTGGATTCCAATGCAGCAATGTTTAAAGATGGAGCTCTTGGGAAGTGATTGGATCATGAGGGCTCTACAACATCAATGGATTAATCCACAGATAGTTGGATGTATTTCTGGGAGGTGGTGGAAATTATAGGAAGATGGATCATGGTTGGAAGAAGTAAGTCACTGGGGACCAAGCCTTCAACACGTGAGCCTTGGGGGATATCTCCCATCCAAACTATATTGTTATCCTCCCTGATGGGCTCCTGAGCTACAATTTCCTTTTCTCTACTAAACCAGTTGTCCTCCATTGCAGTAGAGACAACAGAGATGAAGGGAGACAGATAAATTCAAGAAAAAGAATATGAAATCCACAGGATATACTTGTCCAGTGGTTTCAGGGAGTGAATGAGAGGTTTCATACTCATGTGATTGTGCAGGATCATTCATTTGATCAGAAAATGCAAAGTTATTTGAATATTAAATTTTTTGTAGTAAGATATATTTACCAATAAAACTATAAAATTGCATATGTTTATGCACAATATATAAATTTGTATAAAACTGTCAATAGACAGGGGTCTGAGGAGGTCTCTCCAAGGGGAAAATGGAGCCTCAACTTAGACTAGGAAAGTTCTCTACTTATTTCTCTTAAAAGAATTCAAGGATGCTTAAAAAGTAAGGCAGAAGTAAACATTTAAGGATAACAAAGGTATACATGCCAAATGCATTTGGTACCTCTCAGAGAAGAGAAGACAAGTTATATATCCAGGATCGAGCTCTCTAATTTTCCTGGAATGTACAGGTAGTCAGGCAAGCTTCTTTATAAACCAAATCCCATGTCAGTAATTTAATATTTTAGGTTCAGAATATTTCCTTTTGTTTAAGCAATCTAGCCATAAATTATTTGTGAGTACATTGCATAACTCTTCAAATCTGATATTTAATCAGTTGTTTTTTTTCCTAATTGATATGCTGCAAGCAAACAGTGGAGGTTTTGTTCATCTAACTAAAGAGACAAGCATGACTGGCCATACTTCTGGATCACTATCTAGTAAGGGTCTTTTTCTTTTTCGGAGATCTCACCAATCTTACACAAACGTCAAAAATAAATTTCTGGAAAAATCTCAGAAATAGTATCTTATTAATTAGTATTTTCTAAGCCTTTTCTGGTCATGTATCACATCAGTAAAAATATTCTTAATATGAATATAAATGAGTATGAAAATAAATATTCATTTATATTTATATTGTTCTAGTTTAAATATATCATAAAACATATGCAAAAATGTAAGTTAAGAATGATATAAAAATAAGGAAAAGTGGTAGCATTTATACTCTGAATCTAATGGGTCATTTTTGGCCCTTCTGGGGGTGTTTGTACCTGTTTTGGAGGTCACTACTATAAATTGCAGCATTGATTCAAAATATGATATATAAAAAGGTAAATGGCTATAGCATTTCTGTGAATTGCTAAACCTCATAGTATAGTATCCCTTCCTTACCCAAGGGAGATATGTTACAAGACTCCCATGGGGATTGTACTAAACCCTACAATTTAATGCTTTTTTCCATCCCTCTGTCTGCATGTGTGTGGGGGTGCTGGGAATTGAACCCAGGGATTTGTACATAGGCAACAGCTCTACCACTGAGCTATACCCCAAGACTTCCCTGTTTTAGCCATGTTTTGCATTGCTATGACCAAAATACTGGACAAGAACAACTTAGAGGAGGAAAAGTTTATTTTGGTTCATGGTATCAGAGGTCTCAGTCCATAGAGAACAGAATCCATTGCTTGGGGCTCAAGTTGAGCAGAGCATTGTGGGCAAAGAGAATGGCAGAGGAAAGTCCTCCTCTCATGGCAGCAAGGAAACAGAGATGACAGACAGAAATCTCTGAAACTGTACACCAAAATAAATCTGTCCCTCTTTGAAGTTGATTATCTTTTTTTTTTTTTTTTTACAGGTTTCATATTTTTAATCAGTTCTGTGAAGAATATCCTAAACACTACAAGAGACACAACAGAATATTTTTTCTTCCAGCATTAAAAAAAATGACATTCACAAACATTTTAAAGAGGCTTGTCTGTATAATCAGGGTGGTGATCTTGAATTTTAAGAAAAATTTACATGTTCTTGACACAGATTGTTTACAGATACATTTAGAAATTGCTTTCTAGTCATGATAAACATTGTGTACAAGTTTTTAAAATGCCCCAACTTTAGCTTTTAAAAAAAAATTAGTCTGGCTAAACTTTTCCTTTTGCCAGAAGCAATGATCCTGAGAGCCCAAACTAAAAACTTGGTAAAAAGAAAAATACCTGGGGGCCTAACAAATGTACTATAATTTGTCTTTAAATGAGAAAAAATTTTTTACATGGAGCTTTTTAAAAGGTCTTTTAACAAGCTACCTTGGGAGCTCAATTGAAAAATAGAAGTTGATGTACTAAAACAGATGTTTCAGCGCAGCTCCAAAAATCTTTATAAATAAAGCGATTTCGGAAGGACGATCCTGGATCAGAAGTGTTATTCCTTGTGTATGTACTTAACGTGTGCATGCCTCAACTCAGTTGTCATAATTGTCTCGATAATTTCCTCCTGAGTAGCGGTCATAGCCACCCTGGCTTCTGCCACTATAGTCTCGGGACCGTCCGTATCCATATCCATATCCTCCAGATCGACTGTCATACCGGCCACTCCCATAGCCCTGGTCCCCACCACCTCTAGAGTAGCTGCGACCACGCCCATGGGCCCCAAAGGCACCCCCTCTGGTGCCCCGGGCAGACTTGCCTGCATGGTCCACCCGGATCTGCCGACCATCCAGGGACTCTCCATTCATGGCTTTCATGGCATCTGAGGCATGTTCTGGATTGGTGAAGGTGATGAAGCCAAAACCCCGGGATCGCTGAGTCTCCCGGTCCTTGACAACAACCACCTCAGAAATAGGCCCAAAGCTGCTGAAGTGGTCTTCCAGCGCCTGCTCATCAGTATTGAAGTTGAGTCCTCCCACGAACAGCTTCCCTTCTTCAGAAGACATGGCAGTGAATTTGAGTCCTGGAAATTGAAAAGTAAAAGCGCTGGAGAGACAGGAAGCTCTGAGGAGCAGGAAGAATGAAGTTGATTATCTTAAGTATTTTGTCACAGTATAGAAAAATTGACTAATACACATTATGGGCAAGAAGCAGTGGAATGGTGTGAGATTTAATCATATTACTCAGAATGGTGAGCAACTTAAAATGTTTGAATTGCTTATTTTTGAAATTTTCCTTCCTTGGCATGTTACTCCTGATAAGTGTATTTACCTATCTTAGGCCACCCAGATAGTCTATGCCAATTAATTTATGATTGAGGGGCCTTGGACCACTCAGTATCAACTTGAACTCTGGTAGGGGCTGGAGGACTAGAGACTAAGATCAGTTATGTGGACAGCCAGCCATACCTATGGTAACAGAAAAACTTCAGACAAAATAACAACAGAGTTTAATTGGTCAGGGAATGATTCTTAAATCTGGTAGCCCCAAAAGCTGTACAGGTTGGGAGAATGCCAGACTACAACATGATCAGGCAGCATTTATGGACATAAAACAAAAGAGAGGTACAGAAACAACCTAACTGGTTAAAGTAGGGTATTTGTCTTATTTGAACCTGGTATGATCAGCTGACTACCTGCTGTTGACAAAACTCAGTGGCTGTGATTGGCTGAGACACAGTTAAGTGTTGCAAAAGAATACCCACGTTTTCAGTTACTCTACATGCTAAGTTAGGTTGCCATTCATTATGTAAGGATTCAAGTACAGTCATCCTCAGGTCAAACTGAGTTTAATTTAACATATACACATGACTGACACCTAGTCAAATCCCTGTACACCAAGGCTTGGATGAGCTTCACTGGTTGGCAGTACTCCTGTATGTCATCATACATCATGCAGGGAGAAATCATTGCTTTCCACCTGGTTCCAGTGGGAGAAATAGTTGGTAACTTACACTTGCTGTGACCTGGGCACCCTGTGTGCCTCCTTCCTCTGTTTTCTTTCTTTCTTGCTTGCTTTTTGAAAGTTCAGTTAGCATTCATTTTTAGTCTGAACTGAAAGAATAGCATTCTTACTGGTGGGATTTCAGATATCAGGAAGGGGAGTGGGTAAACAGTGTTGTGGTTTCATGACCTGACCAATTGCTTTAAGGTTTGTTTGATTGCTTGCTTGCCCGCTTTTCAGTTATTTTCTCTCTAAAACGCTTTCATTAGTGCATTACAATTATACAAATAGTGGAGGTTATTTTGACATTTCCATATGCATATAACAATATGCTCCATTTTAATCTCCAGTTCCCCTCTTCCTTTCCCCCTCCCTCTCTCAAAACACTTCCTTTCTTCTAATGTTTTACACACACACACACACACACACACAACTGTGTATTATAGTTATATATAAAAGTGGAATTTATTGTGATATATTTATAACATAATTGGCCAACTTCTTCCCCATTACCTCCCCTCCTTCCTCCCGCTTGGTTCCCTGCCTACTGATCTACTTTCTAGTTTCATGAGAGCTCCATTTTCATTCCTTTTTCTAAACTTCTATATGTGAGAGAAAACATTCAACCCTTGAATTTCTGAGTCTGACTCATTTCACTTAGCACGATGTTTTCCAGTTCCATCCATTTACCAGCAAATGATATAATTTCATTCTTATTTATGACTGAGTAACATTTTATTGTGCATATATACCAAGTTTTGTTCATATGTTCATCTGTTGATGGGTATCTAGGCTAGTTCCATAACTTAGCTATTGTGAATTGTGCTGCTATAAACACGGGAAAGCATGTATCACTAAAGTATGCTGATTTTAATTCTTTTGGATAAATATAAAGGAGTGATATAGCTAGGATCATATGGTGGTTGCATTACATATCTTTTGAGGAATCTTCATACTACTTTCCAAAGTAGTTGTACTAATTTATAGTCTCACCAACACTGTACAAATATATAGCATTTTCTCTATATTCTAACCAATAATTGTTATTGTTTATATTTTTTTCTTTTCACATTTTTATTGGTTCATTATAGTTGTACATAATGGTGGAATTTGTTGTTATGTATACATACATGCACATAACATAGCAATATAATTTGACCAATATCATTCACCAGCACTCCCCCTTCACTCTCTCCTCACACCTCCTGGTCTCTTTCCTCTATTGATCTCTTTTTGATCTTTATGAGATCCTACCATCCACCTTTCTTTTCCTTTTTCCTCACTATCTTCCACATATGAGAGAAAATATATGACCCTTGACCTTCTGAGTTTGGCTTGTTTCACTGAATATAATGGTCTCAATTTCCATCCATTTTCCTGTAAATGATACAATTTCATTCTATATATGGCTAAATAAAATTTTATTGTGTGTGTGTGTTGAGAGCCACAGCCAGTCAGAATGATGCCTGGCATTTGCCAGAGGGAATGTTTGAAAGGGAACCATTGAGATGATGATTTGAGTTAAGCTATATATAATTGCTGTGATGCTGGATTGATTGTATTGTATATTTGACCTTTACTGTCGGGCAATGGGGCGGCTCTTGCTGCTTGGGGTGCCCGCTACTTTGGAGTTCTCATGGGGATTCCCGGAGAGTTCCCATTGGTTGGGGAAGTGCCGGAGGAGGGATTTCCAGATTGGGGGTTTTGCTGGAAGGGCCGCATGGGTGGCGTTAGCGGAAAAGCGCGCGTGGCATGCAGTGCTGGTGAGAGTTGAAATAAAGTAGTTGCTATTTGAACCTATAAGGCTTTGTGGCGGCTCAGTTATTCGTGCCCAGCCAGACTGCGGCATGTGTGTGTGTGTGTATATATATATATACACACACACACACACACACAAATACATATATACTATATATTGTTTGGCTATTGTGAATTGTGGTTGCTATAAACATGGGTATGCATGGATCATTGTAGTAAGATGACTTTAATTCTTTAAGATAAATACCAAGAATGGTATAGCTGGGTCATATGGTGGTTCCATGACTAGTCTTTTGAGGAACTTCCATACAGATTTCCACAGTTGTTGTATAATCCCACCATAGTGTAAAAGTGCTCCTTTTTCTCCACATCCTCTCCAGCATTTGTTACTGTTTGTATTCTTGAAGACTGCCATTCTGACTTGTGTGAGATGAAATCTCAGGGTATATTGATCTTCATTTCCCTAATTGCTAATGTTGTTAATGTTAAATATTTTTTCATATATTTCATGGCCATTTATATTTCTTCTTTTGAGAGGGCCTGTTTAATTCAGTTGCCCATTATTAATTGGGTTATTTGGAGGTTTTTTTTTTGTGTTACCTTTTTTGAGTTCTTTATATATTATAGATATTAATCCTTTGTCAGAAAAGTAGCTAGCAAAAATTTTCTCCCTTCCTGAAGTTTCTTTCTTCACATTCACAGTTGTTTTCTTTGCTGTGCACAGCCTTTTAATTTGATGGCATCCCCTTTATCAACTATTTATCAACTTTATCAATTATTTCCTGAGTTTTAGGAGTTCTATTGAGAAAGTTGTTGCCTGTGACTGTATGCTGGAGTGTTGACCCTATGTTATCTTTTAGGAGTTGAATAGTTTCTGATCTAATTCCTAGGTCTTTGATCCATTTTGAGTTGACTTTTGTCAACTGTAGGGTAACAGCTTTTGTCACTATAGGGTGAAAGATAAGTGTCTTGTCTCATTCTTCTACATATGGATAACCTAGGACCATTTGTTAAAGAGGCTGTATTTTCTGCACCTTTGTCAGGATCAGATGTCTAGTGTGTGGGGCTGTCTCTGTGTCTTCTATTCTGTACCATTATCTGTCTGTTATTATGACAGTATCATGCAGTTTGGGTTACTATAGCTCTATAGTATAATTTGAAGTCAGAGATTGTGATATCTCCAGTGTTGCTTTTTTGGTTTAGAATTGCTGGATTGCTTTGGCTATTCTGGTCTTTCATTCTTCCGGATGAATTTTAGCACTTTTCTTTTAGTTTTGAGACTATTGTTATTGGTATTTTGATGGGGATTGTATTGAATTTGTATATTGCTTTTGGTAATATGGCCATATTAACCATATAAATTCTGCCTATTTAAGAACATGGCAGGTCTTTCCATCTTCTGAGGTCTTTTTCAATTTCAATCTTCAGTGAGGAGCTATACAGAGAAGGCAGTCCATAGCTGTGGAGAATCCTGGCATTCCCCAGAGGAAAAGTGGTGTTGACCTGTTGTTCCTACCATGGTGGGCACATGGAAACTTCTAGCTCACTTAGTTTCCACCCAAACCTTGACACAGTTGGCTTGTCAGTGTTTAAGATGTGGGTGGAAACAAAGTGAGCCAGAAGCTTTCATGTGCTTAGCTATGTACGTGAGAAATTGTTTCTCTGGAATGGACGTCAAAAAAGTGTTAAGCCTCACTCTCCCATTCAACACAACACCTCTTAGAATAGTTGTATCTCACAGTTTACACAAACTTCAAATTTTATCCCCAATCCAATCACACCTCATTACTTTCTCTAAGGTCATCACCACACACAGAACTGTCATTGCTGATCCACTATCACACATACCAACTGTTCTTTGCTTCACTCCCCAATATCTGATCCCAAAATCTTTTTTCTCCCACAAAAAAGCCAGAGTGATCTTTATAAAACATACCTCAAATCATGTTTCTCCTGCTTAAAGCAACTCAATATCTTCCCACTTCAAAGGGAATATAATCCAAACTCCTTAGCTCAACATTCAATGCCCGAGTGGCCTGGCCCACTCTCTCCAACTGCACCTCCTATCACTGCTCCACTTGTCATTGTTCTCTATTCATCCTGGACTTCTTTCTCTTCCTCAAGCCAAGTTCACTGTCACCCATATCAGTCAGGATCCCATATGGAGAATTCAAAAATAGATACTCACATAAAGATGTGAACAGCAAAACCAATATGGATACTGGGCTCCCAGGGTTAGCAACATCTGAAAGCCCTTCTCATTCCTAGGCCTAAAACCAGTATTTTGTTTATGTACTTATATCCTATCCTGACTGGTAGCTCAATAAGTGAGAATTTTTATGTCTCAACTACAATTGCATGGCCCTCCCTCC